AGTCAAGATCAAAGCCCCGGACTCCATCATGAGACAGCTGGGATTCGAGATGACTTCCTCCACAATTCAGGAAGTGGTCGCGTCACTGCTGCCCAAGAATCTGACAGCCGCCGGCCCAAGCGTTGCAATCACATAGCACTGACGGCGCAACGAAGACGGGATGGCAGTGAAGTACCAGACCGAATTGAGCAAGACCGGGCCAGACGCCATCATAGCTAAGTAATTAGTACATGGCACATGCTCTCAGTTTTCTCGGCGTGCATCAGTGGGAGGGGTGCTACATGTCAGGGGTCATGTTGGTATCGTGCAAAGATCGAAAGATGCCGTAGACCGATGTAACGCAGCAGTTGTTCGTGGCCGGGCGGCCCCGAAGGATAAGTGCGCAGACTTTGTAGCAGTTGCGCATGCACTGTTGAGTGTAGGATTTTTCTTGCGCGGCCAATCAACACCAAGCCTGCGCGAATTAATGAACGGCTCAACGCTAAGCCCTGCAGCTGCAGGCAGACGAAGCTAAAGCGTTTCTAGAAGATCGTGGTGGCATCCTGTAGCGTTTCCGTTACTGACAGAATCAAGGTCCATGGAGCTGGTGGTTGATGTCATTCAATGCCTATGCGCCATCATGGCGCTGCATGTCAGTGTTCCTTCGTCTGCTTTCACGTGTTACCATTGATTGGGTAGCCAATTCTCACGTGTGTGGTCTATTGGCTATCGCTTCGTCACATGCGCGTCCTGCTAGTCTGAAGGGCGGCTGTGACAGTGCGCATAGAAGACGCATGGATGGCTGATCTCGAGTTGCAGCATGATCGACGCCCGGATGCATGTATGTGGGGGCGTCTCTCATACCTTAACAGCTTCTTGAACCCACTACGGCCAATTGACCCACATCTAGTAAACACGAGGCTATAATGAACACAGATCCAGTGCGGAGTGGTAGCTTCGAGATGTCGCCACAAAAGCAAACATCCCGCACGGGTATCTAGAGAATTGACGTGGGATGAACTGGGCGATGTTATGCACTTCGCAAAGTGTTCGCCGATCATCCTCATAGACCCCATGCCGTTGATGCCGATGGTTTCGTTGCAGCTTACTATCGGAGACAGCCAGGTTCCGATAATAGGCATCATGGCAGCCGCTACACAGTATTCGCAGAACAAGGAAGAAGCAAATAGACAGCCACGCAGGAGTCGCCTTGTGAGGTGGGCATCTGACTGGTGCGCCACACCAAATCATGCCAATGTAGTGATCACGGTGGTGGAATAGTAGCTGATAGCAACGGGGATGGGAGTGGTCGATGGGGATTGAGAGCAGACGGATGAGCGACGTAACAGAAGAATTAAAGACTAAATTATATGCCGTATTAAGAGCGATCGGTCTTGGGGCGCGATTGTAATACCAATCGACTATTGGGGATTCCAAACGTCGACGAAAATACGCGCACTATTTTTGCATGGTGCTGTGTAAAGGATATTCATCAGCGCCCGCCGCGTGTTGACGCGTTGAAGTCTTCCCAGTCTTCCCTAGCTTTTTCTCGGTGACAAAGACACGCAACACGATGAGATACCTGACAATTAAGAAGATGATAATCGCGGCGACCAGGATGCCCACTATGTATGCTCCGACTAGCCCAGAAGAATTCTTCTGAAGGTCAAGGAAGGGGTACACATAGAAGCCTTGGGTGGCATGCGTGAGATAGGCCAAGCCAAGATAAAGAGCCAACAGGAGGATAATTGGAATCAGGTCGAGCCAGGGGAGTCGCTCAGTTCGGGGGATAACTATCTCGAAAAGGGCGTACGCCGAGTTGAGAGCATGCTGTGACGTGTTTGACCAGAGAGCGAAAGTGGTGGGGAATTGACCCGCAAGAAGTGTCCAGTAGACAACTGTTGTACGTTAGTTCAGCGTGCCCAGACAATGGATGCTGCAAGCTCCCCAAACATGATGTTGCAAGGAACACGAGATTGCCTCGAGGTGCTTCGGCGCGACTATGGCAAAACGTGTTATGTAAGTTGACTTACTGGTCACTATCCACGGATAGACTACAATGGTAGAGTAAAATATGCTGTGCGCCACCTGTAGCGCTTTGGGCCATCGTGCCAATAATGAAGTTCCAGTAAACCAGTAACTGCCGGTATGCACAGCGGCAAAGGCATAGTAAAAGGCGAGACCCCAATACGTCAGAACCGTGAAGAAGGAGAAGGATTGCTGCGAAGCGTCGGACCTGCCGTGGGTACCATTCCAGCCAAAGATGAAAAAGAGCGTGGTAAATGCGTAAATGGCCAATAGCGCGCGAATAGCGAAGAGGGCGGCTGGTGGGAGAATCCACGAGGTTACAAACCGCGTGGGATCAAAAAGGCCGGCGTACGGTGCCGTCATTCGCTGACCAATAGCCATGCTGGGGTTGTTGATTGGGATCCTTGTCGAGTGCCACCAGACTGGTTGTCGTGTCCTCGGAACGTTTCCGACGCGGTGGAATCTGGGTCGTGGGTAGTGCGCGATAGATGACGCGAGATAATTCGCGATGGAGATGATGCGACGTGGTGTCGCGAGACGGCTGCAAAACTCGTTCACCCCCAATTTCCGAGGCTGAAGCTGAAAAGGGCAGTCACCGAGCTGAGGGAAACGCGCTAGCAATCGGCGCTATGTCGTGTTCGGACTAGCACCGGTCGCCGAAAGAACTGACAGGATCGGCCGCGGCTTCGTAACATTACCGCTCTATCCCGGTCTACCATCACGTCTGTGGGCCCGTCCGCTTCAGACTCCCACGCTTGTAACCCCGGCAGCAGAGGCGAGGCACACTCCCACTTACACCCTTACGCTCCCTACGCAGGGTGGCCAGGATGAGGCCTGCAGCGCGCTTGGGCACAGGTGGCTTGCTCGTCCCTCTGCCACTGCCTTCTTCTTTAAGACTACGGGATGCCATCTGTTTGGAATGATACTACTCAGGATGATCACCCAACTGAAAAGCCATCTTCCCAACCCGTTCAGTATCCATCACTATTCGCCCGCTTTGCTACGTATCAAACATCACCATGAGTGACAACAACAGGATATCCGTACGTCTGCATCTATCACCTCCTAAGCACTCCGCTAACGGCTCATAACAGAAGGCACAGAATCTTGCTAGGATCAGGGACAACCAACGTGAGTAGGTTCCTTGCACGACGACTCATCGTCAGCTGTCTGCTGTCCAACCATGAAGAACGGCGATAGCTTGCAGCCTGCAAAACATCCAGACGTCTCTGTGTAAGCATCCGATTTACCGAGGATGTTCGCTAACGGTACTCTTTTCAGGCCGATCACGCGCTCGCCGGAAGGAGTATCTGCATGAGCTCGAGGCCAAACTGCGCAGCTATGAACAGATAGGCATCGAGGCCTCTTCGGAAATCCAGTATGCTGCCAGGAAAGTACTAGAAGAGAACCGAAAACTCAGGTCGCTTCTTCATGGAAGAGGAGTCTCTGAAGCGGAGATTGTCGCTGCACTTGAATCGACGTCCGATCGACACTACAAGCACACCTCTGCCGCCACCAGACTGCACGCCATGCTTGAGTCAAGGGTCAATACCAACACGGCCTCTTCGACCAGTTCGCCTATACCTTCATATACCAGAGCCGATTCGTTATCTCAACACGTCCCATCAGTGCCGCATGCTACTATCTCATCTGCACGACCGACAACACTCAGTTGCAACGATTCGCCCAGTCCAAGATCCGTGGTATCAAGTATGGGCACACCACCACCAGCTTCATATCCAGCGATGCACTATACTACTCCAATGACTCCATCAGCTGTTCAGATCAAGTCAGAGCATGTTCAGTACGACTACCCTTACGAGCAGACATATAGTAGCGCTTGGGCCTACTCGAGCGACTGCAACTACACTGCAGAACCGACCTCATATCACAACAACACCTCATCATGTGTTGACGCTGCCAATATCATCCGCACAATGCGATCTGGTGTTGGCCCTGAGCCGGAAGTCGATCTCGGATGCCTCACATCAGACCGTCATTACTACGTCGACAACGCTACAGTATTCAACATGATGGATCGATATTCTCAAAATCATGCGACTATATGAGACGAGACGGTGGTCAGTTTGCGGATGCGAGTGGGAGGCGCTCCGTCATCACCTACCTGGCCGATAGCGAGCGGAGCTATCGGAGACCAGTGGCGCCGCTTGTTGCGTACGACACTACGGTGGCCCAAGCCCATATTGACGACTGGAAAGGTGCCTGTTGTGCTCATAATAGTCTCTTCAGTAGTATGTCGAGTCGAGACAATCTCTGGGAGGGTCTGAACAATGCATTGTGGCAAGGAAAAACTTTCGCAGACCCCTATCGAGACCCTGCCACCGATACGTGTCAGTCCACTTCACTCTTTCGCCCAGCACTACGAACGCCATGAAAGAAATCAACCGCTAGCACGAAAGCGATGCCGAAACTTCAACTCTTTTCTTTGTCGACAGCCGGCGCATGACCTCTCGCCTTGCTCAGTCTATGTTCGTATGATACATTTCAGATACTCCATTCGACGCCAGCACGCCAGCACCAAGCCTAGAGGACTTGGAAATGATCCACTGAAGTTTGTAAATAACGTGTACAAATTACTATTGTAGCCTCTATCGGCGAATATGATGATTTCATCATCGCATTCCCTCCATATTCGTCACTGATGAAACCAGTCTCGTATCTTTTTATTCTCTAGATAGGCCGTGTGCACCTAGTCGTCTTCTCATGTTGGCACGGTTTTCTCTAGTTACTGTCTTGCTGGTGGAAGACGGCTAAGTATCTCCCTTTGTTCAGGCAGCTAACATAGCATGGGTGATGTTGGCAAACCCGGCATGTTCTTCTTGTCCTCTGTAGACAAAGGGTCATTCTTCAAAGAACACATACACAGCATATATCCGACGCGACATCTGTATGGGTCAAAGTTTCAATCACATATCCATGAATTTTATTCTTGTCTGACACTTCACATCCATCGGTATCGAGGTTCCATCAAGATGTCTCCAAAACGGAAGAAGGCAGGACATGGTGACGACCCACCCAAGGCGAAGAAGACCAGATCAGAGGATACTCCTGACGACGATACAACCAAGACTGATGTCAACTGGTTCATACCAAAAGAAAAGGGCAAGAACATCTACAAAGAGAAATGCGCAGCCGAGTATGCCCAGATTCTCTATGAGAAAGCGCGAGAAGAGATAAGTCCGCAACAAGCACCTGTGTTAGATCCGCAATTCCGGACGCCAGTATTCCAAAAGAATGGCAAAGATCTGCGAGCGGGAGACAAGTACAGGCCCAGCGCGTCTTTGCGCAACCTGTTCAACGATATCAAGAGTAGAAGCATTGCTAAGGAGGAGGGCCATAGCATCGCTCATTTCCAGCAGCAGTTTGGCGACGACGCAAACGTTGCAATAGTGCTCTCAAGAGCGGAGAACAACGCTACTGTTGTTCTAAATGAAGACCAACGTTTGGAAGTGTAAGTGTAGATAGGTGGCTCGTTGTCTCCAAGCTGATTGGATTTAGGACTGTGAACGATGTAACTGCACATGTAGATTTTATCAGACGAAACTCATCAGAGGATGGCAGCCCTATCGGGTACTTTATTCAACTCCCTCTCAATACGTCAGTCACAGTAAACGGAACTACATACACCAACAGCGACGACTCATCGTCCATGCCTTTTTACATTGGGCCGCTCGAAGGGTATGCGATCATTGAACTACTGTCGCAACCAGCGTTTTTCTTCAGAACTGCAGCAAGCTTAAAAGACACTTTCTCACACAGGGCGGTACCTCAAGAAGAGCTCGATCGTCGCGATGGAAATGGGGATGTTGCTTTGGGAAATACGAGGGTGAGATGGAGGCCTATTGGAGCTCCACCACCGCCAGCGGGATTGGGAAACCCGGGCATCGCAGAAGAGGTAGAAGAGGAGTCAGAGGATGACTTCATCGACACATTCACCGATGAAGGAGAGCCGATCAAAGATCTTGATGCGTATATGCGAGCTCAGCTGTTGTCTCATCAACAAAGTCGATATCGCGAGCTCGTTCCCAGAGTTCTTGCTTCGGTGAACTATCGACAGCAAGAAGCTACCGGATTCAGTTACCAGCACGAAGGACAGACTTTCAGACCCGGAAGGACGCTGTTGCAACCAATCGAGGTGGATGGGAACCATCTATTGCTCGCTGCTCGAATACACGCCGACAAGCACATCACACTCGAAGTCCTAGATCCAATGACGTGGCGATCAACGCTGTCTAGTCGCAAAGCTATCGATGAACACATCAGGGAGACGTTGCGAAACTCCACATGGTGGCGGCATGTCTTTGACTCGTTAGATCAAATGGAAGAAAACCTGCCCGAGGCCACTATGTGGGTACCGGCTACTCAGATCACGACAGGCGATGGCAGCCTTACGTACACCGTCTTGAACGCGTGGGCGCTGGCGATGGGCCTCGCGCCGAACCCGTCGTTCACACCCAGCGCTCATGGTCACGAATCGTTCTTCATCCGGGCCCAACAAATCTTCGATCTGGCCCTTCAAGACACGTTGAATTGGAGGGTATTGCTCGCCTTTTTCCGCTGCACCGGATTCGTTAAGCCCAGCGAGGGCAGCGAGAATGATGAAGAGGCAAATCTCCCGCATCTATCAAGGCGATTTGATCTTTGTAATCGCTCCTTCCAGAAGCTGATCGCTCGCCAAACGGCAGCAGACGCCGCCGCTGAGGGCAAGAAGATCGATATGGAGCTGTTCACTTTGGGACTCGAGCATGGGATGCGCCATGATGTAGCCTTCGCTGCCGATTCACTAAGCGAGCTCGAACGGACCAACCTCACTTCCATCGTCCGTGATGGCCAATGGAACTTCGCTGACACAGAGAAGAAGCTGAAAAAGCGTCTGGACGAACACAAAGAGCAGAAAATGTCGGATGTGTCGTTGCTAAAACCAACACCACCACCACCACCACCTCCTCCACATAAATCGACTCCAGATACCGAGGAGATTCCGGCCGCCTTTGATCCTTGCAAGCATCTTCACGAGCAGATCAAATTGCTCGAAGAACAGGGGAAGATTGAACCAAAAGTCGGAAGTGAAATCGACGAAGCATTGCCATCCAGGTGGAGTCAAGCTGTCTTTGCATATATCGAGCCCGTTGCACGAGCTATCAACCAATTGCTCTCACCTGAGCTGCCTAAGCGGGGCTTCACGGTGGCAGACCTGAATGGTAGTAGCAGATACGCAGATGATTCTGGCGTCTTGGACACAGTGGTTATGATAGTCTGCCAACTGCAAGAACATGTCATACTGGTAGTCTTGCAGCATGAGGACACATCCAAAGAAGCTCCTGATGTATCATGCGTTATGGACTCCGCACCATGGATTGCCACGGCGAAGGAGCGCATCCAAATCCACGACCTACTGATTGAGGCGGGGATGTTAGCAGTTGACCCTACTGCAGACAAAGTTAAAAGTTTCATCGGGCCAGTACTACAATGGATGCCGGGACCTCAGCAAGCACAAGTAAAAGAAGCTGGGTATTTCGCAATCATGAGTGCATGGGCTGTACTACTCGGTCTACCCATCAATCCCGAATTCAGCATAGGCGCAAATTTCTACGACAGCGCACTTCCTCTGCTCCAGGCAGTAAAAACAGCTCATGCAGACTGGAAGCTTATCTGGGCGTTCTTGCGTTGTGTGGGTTATACACAGTCCGAGCAGCCGCCTGCGATGCAGCGTCGTTTCAAAGCGACAAGGCCTGCTCGTGGCCCCCGTATCACCAGAGGCAACAGAAAGACAAAGCGTTCGATTGAGACTCAGGCTTGCCGTGACATCAATTATTCGCATTTTCCAGTGAACGCGGGTGTAGCGCATACTGAAGCCTTCCCATGGGACGACTATGACAAGCCGGATAGGGCAACTCGTATACCCGAGATGATCAAGTCTGGACAGTATCCAGAATCTCTGCGTTCTAAAGCAGATCATACCAAAAAAGATCCCCCTCCTGTTCACAAGGAGTCCCCATGCGCTCAGTTCCATCGCAAACTCAAGGCAATATTAGAGGATGAAAAGATCAAAACTGAGCTGCAAGACTTCCGGCATACTCAGAAACCCACTAGTAAGTTTGGTGTATGGCTAGAGGATTGGGAAGCATCACATGCTATTGCTTCAGTCACGTTCGCAATCACATCGAGTCAAGATGATTCGCTTGGGTTTGGTTTCATTGCCCAGACACACCTCCACAGTATCAGAAACACGGTCAAAATTGATGTTATGCGGACGCCACGCCCTGGAAGACCACTGATTACGCCGTTACTCATCGAAAACCATATCGTATTACTGGTGATCCAGCTTGATGATAATGATAGCAAGCCTTCGATCTCCGTACTGGACTCAAAAGCATACCACATGACAGCAAAAAGTCGTGCAGAATTACACAGATGGGCGTGGAGATTGGTGATCATGTCGAAATGGAATCAGGGAGTATTTCCTATATCCGAAATGAAACTTCACAGACCTGTACACGCGACCTGGGTGCCAGTATCACAGCAGCCTAGCGACAACGAGTGTGGCTACTACACCATCTTGAATGGCTGGTCCCTCGCGCTTGGTCTGACACCAGATCCTACGGCCAACGTTGAATGGACAGATCAATTCCACAGCGACTTACAGGACGTGGTTCATCTTGCTCGCGTTGGACGGGCAGATTGGAGCTTGATCTACAATTTTCTTAGATGTTACAACTTCGTCCTAGATGGAGAGGTACCTCCTGATCGCCGTTTCGCCCAAACCACAGCGCTCTTGAAGGAAACGGATGTTGGAGAAGTACAAGAAAACATCGTCAGCATCGAGGACGTCCAATCCGCTGACCCCAATACCAACACTCCGGATTTGAGCCAGATGAGACAAGCCAATAGATTAGCGTTACTCCCAGGAAGGCGACACGGCCTCAGCGCAGCATTTCCGTCCGATAAGTGGAGCTCAGGTGCTCGAGCAGATGCCAATGACTTGGCTCGCAATGGCAAGCTTGAGCTCAATGCCAATGAAGCCCAACTCCGAAAAGCTCATGCGGATCTGCGTAACGGCCGCGGGCCAGTCCTAAGAGCAGAGCTTCAAAAAGCGGACGCCAACTATAAGCAACAAACCCGACATGAGTTGCTCAAGACATGCCAAGACCATCTAATTAGGTGGCATACAGGTATCGACTTGCTGTTCCATGAACGATCTTGTGCATTCCTCCATGATACATTAAACTTCTATCGCTACATCTTCCAAGAAGACTTCCTCGGTACCGTACTACACAATGAAGCTTTCCCGCCCGGAGATTGGAACAAGTATCGAGAAGCTTCCGAAATCAACTTGGCAGTCTCCGCTGTCGTTGCAGCCATTGATGACTTACAATTGCAAAAACACCAAACGAGTGTCCCTGGTGTACCCTTCGCGGGTGGCTTCTCTCTTTCCACGAGCACGGATATCGCCATTGGTGCGGGCTCATCAGTTTCACGCCCCAGAAGATGTTGGCTCATGCCTCTGAGCATCATGGAAGGCGGCTATCTAACTAGGATCAACCAGTGGCGCCAGGAGAACGGTAAGAAGATTCCAGAGTCTAACGGTGGCGCACAGGGGCACCATATACTGGTGGTTTTACAAGAGGAAGAGAAAGCAGAAGGGGATGAGGAAGAGAGTGAGGATGAAGAGCAGAATGAGGGATTAACCAAGACTGGTTTTGCGATGTACTTCTATGACAGCGCGCCGGAAAATCTGAAGGACACACTGGTAGCTGAGGGAGTTGCAGGGCCATTGCCCGATATCGTGTCAGATATCGCTCCGGGGCTCCAATGGCTTCAGCATCGTAAAGGCGAAAAGAAGAAGAGCTATTCAATTTTCGAGGTACCCACTTCAAGGCAGCCGCACGGCGGGTGGCAATGCGGGCCTCACGTTATCATCAACGCGTGGATTCTGGCTTTGGGCCTACGCCCTGATCCTAGCAGAGAGTACAACGACATCGTATACCAGGAACTCCACGTGCTCGCGCGTGCCGCTGTAGTTGGACTACTGGACTGGCGAACTTTAGTCGCATGGATTTTCTGCCACAAGCTTGCTCTCGAGAAGAGTATGGATAGCGTGACACCTGATCGTCACTTCAGGACTACAGGATTCTGGGAAAACGAAAACGCCTTGGTTGATAGAATCCGAAGTTTAGAACATAATGATGACCTTCTTGGGGCGATGTCTCAGAAGGAGATGCCTTATGACAGAGGTAACAACCCTGTGCACGCAGGAGCTAAGACACCGAAAGACGCAGGGGATGGAAAACAAAAAGAAGGAGAAAAGGCGTATCTTGCAAGAAGCTACGACGATATAGATCAAGAAATCATCAACCAGCCTAGCTGTACGAATGGGAGACTGAGGGGAGGAGCTCGGACGCTTTGCGGAGCTGATGAGGACTACGATGTTAGTATGATCAGCAGTAAGAAGCGGAAGTCGCGTGAGAGAGCCGGTAGCAATCGTGACATCTTACGCGATCCACACGAAGATGGGGATATGGAGGTGGCAGATGCAGCGCATCCGACGCCTTCAAGGAAGAGGCGGCGACTAGGCGATAGCTTATCGTTTCTTGACGCATATTGAGTTGAGCGTTATTGTTGTATTTGTATCGCGAATGATGTATGTTTTGAACGAATCGATGAAGATATGATCGTGAGCACCACCTGGGCATCCTGTGATGTTTTTTCCAACGGAAGGTGGGCAGCGGTAGCGGAGACGCGATCTCTCGGCAACCGATGACGTAGCCCCAAAACCTTCACGCGTCGCGATCCACGAACCCCAAACCTCCACCATCCCCTCTACCACTCCTAATACATCCTCACAACCCGCCAAAATGTTACGACCAACCCTACTATCCGCCATACGCCCCAATTCCCTCCCCAGTAGCTCCAAACGCGCCTTCTCCCTCCTAAACCCCACGTCGCGCTCGCACACCAACCGCATCTTCGACCCCATCCGCCAACCCAACGACCTGCACACGCTCACACTCCTCAACGCATCCGACAACCGCTCTCTAATAACCTTCTGGACCGCGACCTGGTGTCAAACCTGCCAAGCCATCAAGCCGCTCATCCGACAACTCATCGAAGAAGAAAAGATTGGCGAGCGGGAAGGCGGACTGGGCTTCGTCGAGGTGCTGATGGACAGCACGTTGATTGAAGATTTGCCGATAAAATACCGCATCAGTAGTATGCCGACGCTGTTGGCCTTTTCAAGACAGGAGGCGCAGTTTGATACGAGGTTGACGCGGCCCGAGGAGATGCGGAATAAGGACTTTTTGAGGGAGTGGTTCGTTAGGGAGGCGCAGAGGGGAGGGAGGATGGGCGGTGGTGGGGGCAGTATGTTCGGTTAGTTTTCCGCGTCCTTGTGTTGTGCTTGGATGGAGTACTGGGCCTGACGGTGTTAAAGGTGCGAAGGAAGATGGCGAGCAGGGCAAAGCGGGTGAGGACAAGTGACACGGGATAGCCAAACATGGAACGGAGGCATGCTTTAGGCGCAACAAGGTGGCAATGCGGTCAGGAGCTGTGGAGTAACGAATGATCTGCGCTCGTGTGACACAGTGAGTGAAGTAAAGCACGGTCGAGCAAACACTGTTATTCGACTCTCACGTGCGGGAGTGATTCCATAACCCCGTTTTCTTCTCTCACCTTTCTCTTGGAAAATTCCCTTCCTTCATCCACCAATAGATCTCTACCATGACAAAATTGCCGATATTTCAAGACTACGAGGCCGCTGTCGTGAAGGGTACTAGGCTACTCCAGATACTGGTCGCGAGGGACAAGACACAAGTTCAAAGCGCATTCGAGGAGGTACAAGAACTAGCCCAACGTGGCTACCTTCTGAAGCCTCAAGACAAGTTCTTTGAAATCGACTGTATCGCCGATGCGCTCTGCGATCTAGGTGTCAGCGACAAGATGGTGTATGATGGCGGAGAGAACATGAGAACACATCATGTGCATGACTGCGACGGAGCAGCAACGAGAGGAGATGATACGGTAAGTTTCGAGATGGGCTAAAGGTACGCGTGTTCTAATGAGCCACCAGACAACACACGGCTACTTCTCCCAAGTCAGCAACCCACTATCTGGTGTCTTGATCGCAGACAGTAATCTCACTCGCACGCATGCAGCGAAATTTGATGACGCATGGGAAGAAGAAGCTATAGGACTATCGCCACTGCGACACTGGTCAGACGTAGCGTTTCTACAATACCTTTCTTCTTTCCCCGAACCACCCGTACGGCCGATTCCGCTCAACTACGTCTTCCGCGTTCAGATACAAAACGCCGAGACGTCTCTGGTGCTCAACAATATTATCAGCAAGCATGGCACGTTTACATTCGAGTTTTGGCCTGGTATCACGTTCGGAATGGACACTGAAGAAGGGAAGGCGATATTGGGAACGCCGAATGGAGCCGGTGTTGCGTGGATGCTTGTTCAGCACAGAAAAGCGCTTGGAGAGAAGAGGATTGAGAAAGTCACTTTGTTTCATGCGGCAAAAACTGATGATCTGTTTAGATGGCCGACTTTGCTGTTTTGGATTGTGTAGAGTGGGGGTCAGGTGAGAAGATTGTATCTGCATTCACTCTACATTGAGCGAATTAGACAAAGGGTGGAACAGTTTAGGCTACATGTCAGCTGCTTCGCGTCATACCGTTTGTTGACGAGGCGCGTGACGCTCAACGTCTCACACTCAAGGAATTCATAAATGCATCTGGATATCAACATACTTAGTACTACCGCGACCCGCCTGCGACACTTTTGTAACTAGCATCCTCTCCGATGACAACCTCAGTCAGCCCGGCAACGCATTACGAGGCGGCTCGCAAGAAAGGTCTATTGCTGTTTCAGATGCTGGAAGCTAGCTTTGGTGAGCTCGGTAATTTACTCAAAAACACAGATACGCCAACTGAAAGCGAATATCTCAACTACGAAGATCTCTTGGAGAACAATTGGGTTGAGCGGTCCTCCGGGGACGATTCCAAAATTCTGGCGCGACTGTTGGAGGACCTTGGAATCAATACTTCAAACAATATCCCTGTTTCACATGAACACCATGGCGTTGCACCAATACAAGAATCGCTACAAGAAGGACTTGAGATGCAGATACGCTTCGACTCAGTCATCAACACTTCCGGTGGTATGATTGCAGCCATGAACACGTACAGTCCCGTGCATGATTGGAGAAAAGCGAAAGCGGATGCCGAGAACGCTCTACTAAAACAAGCCGGCCACAAGTCTACGGAGAGAAATAACGTCGGCGATGACGTCCCTAGCCTGAAGTACTGGTCAGATGTCGCATACCTGCAATGGGCCTGCCGTAACACCGACTCATCCGACCTACGTCATGTGATGCGAATGAGCATCACAAACGAAAAGACAAAAGCAGTCATCCAGCATATCAAACAACAAGCCCATCCCAAAGCTACAGGCTCATACTCATTCGACGTTGACAACCGGGATCAGGTAGCCGCTTTTCTAGGGACACCGAATGGAGCCGGAGTCGCTTGGTTGCTCATACAGCATAAACAGCAATTGGGCCATAAGACAGTTTACAAGGTAACTGTGGACTGCCGTGAAATCTGGCATAAAAGCAAGACGATAATTCCAAGCTTGGTGTTCCACCTTCGCGACGCGGTTACTCCAAAGCCAGGCAGCGAGAAAGGTGATTGAGGGAAGTCGCTATGAAGAAAGAATGAGCGTTGCTCTAGCAATGTGTCAGGCCACGCGGACAATGAGATGGCAGACAGTAGAACACTCATGAAACTAGCCCGTGCTTGATCCACTGGAGATTCGTGGAAGGTAGAAGACATTGTTTCACCAGCCTCATATATGAAGAACACTCGCTTCCTCTCTTTCCCAATAACATTTTACAGTAAGCCATGCCCACGACGATGAATTCACAAATCAGTAATCTGGACTACAGCACTGCCGTGGAGAAAGGCAAGAAGATGCTCAAAATAATGCATGGCGGATCTGCTGTCACGCAAAGCCCATACTTCACGCCCGGGGAAGTAGGAGCAATGGGATACAAGAGAACAACAAGGCCTCGATCTGTCTCTGGCCTGTCAAAAAAGCTGGACAGTCTCGGTATTCAAGGTTCTAACTCTCACTTCATCAATGTTACAAACGATTACACGAAAGACGTTATCACTGGCGAAACGATTGTAAGCGTAAGCGAAGTGAGGTTCATGTCCGAAATCAACTTTGAAGCTGGAATTCTCGTAGCGAACTACAGCTACAGCCCGACATACAAGGCCAAGGCGTTGAAATCGCTGTCGACCGCTCTGTTCCCCTCGTTGAAGCACTGGTCCGATATAGCCTTCCACCAATGGGTCCATTGTCAACTCGACCAGGAAGAAGAACGTGATCTCAAGTTCATCATGAGAGAAAACATCTCGAACGAAGATACTTTAGCTATCATTAATAATATCCTCGACGCACCACCTCGCCAGTCACAGGCTTATACGCGGTCGGGACTATACCTAGACATGAACAGTGACCATGCTATCGCTCTGCTGGGCACAGCACACGGTGCAGGTGTAGCTTGGTTACTTGCTCAGCATCGAGACCAACTTGGCCGTAAGGTAATTGCTGGGATAAGGATATTCTACAGCGACGAGCCGCCAGAGGGCGACAGAGCCCTCAACTTGCTATTCTACCTTCGTGACGCCAGTGCGAGTAAGAAACCTATCGAGAAGTTGTGAGGAACTGTGTTGAGCAAAGGATGCGGCGGACGATCCTTTGGGTAGGCGCAGGCGTCTACCTAGGTAGCGGCGGTAGTTCGTATTGATGATAATCTTGCTGAATTGGATCAAAACCGAGCAGTTCCTGATGGTGGTTCAGATTGTTATCGGCGTAGAGGCCTAGTATGAATGAACATTTGGCGTTCCCGGTAGCGATGATGGATGGGCAGGCTGCCGCGGGACTTTGTGGCTGGGACTGGGAGCCGGGGGTGACCGGAAGCGAGACGCACCCCGCAATGACCAGCGCGTCCCGCATCTTCATCACGATCTTCGCGTCTCCTTTCTCTCATGATCTGCTTCTTTCTGTGATCTCATCTGCTGCGTTCGATGTTTGACCTTCTGCTCTTCCCCAGCAGCTCGCCATATGCTGCCGTCGAACGATAACAAGCGAACTCTACGCGTCATTAGCGCGAGCTGCACTGTTTACTCAATAGCAACCGCATACACGGGATGGCCATGACGCTCTTATGCTTTTTAGTTGCGGAGACGGCTCCTAAGCCTCGGCTTCGCGCACTAAGAAGTGGTTTTGTTTGGATGGAAACCTTCCAGCAGAATGCACGCCAAGCTGGACGTGGCTTGCGACGGGAGCGTTGACCTCGGTTTTGCGTCAATGAGAAAACGAGGCTTGTATAAAGAGATCAAGATACTGCTTGATGCCAGTGCACGGGTATTAAAACCACAGTGCCGCCGACATGTTCTTGTCTTCTATATTGGGCTCCATTGGTCTTCTGCTCTTAACCAGCGGCGCGACGACAACCTGGGCAGACTATGCGTCCGGGCACGATGTACCAACCGCAACTATTGACGCGGGTGTCATCGTTGGAAAGTCTACCTCACTTCCCCATGCACTTGGACCAGTGCATCAGTTTCTAGGTGTGCCCTTTGCATCACCACCCGAAAGATTCTCTCCACCGCGAGCTGCAGAACCCTTCCAAGAGCCAGTCAATACCACCGAGTTCAAACCAGCATGTATCCAACAATTTCGATGTATGTGAGCCATGCAAGCGATTTGATACATGCTAATTAGAGTAGACCCGTTGTCAAGTTCACAGTTCACGCAGGCTGTCTTCAATAACCCGCCACCTGAAGAGTCGGAGGATTGCTTATACCTCAATGTCTATGCACCATCGACTCCCGCAGGAGGTAATGGCAGGGCTGTAATGTTCTGGATCTACGGTGGCTCACTGCAGTTCGGTAACGCTGGTCAAGAACAATATGACGGAAGCAGTTTCGCGGCATACGAAGATGTCATCGTTGTGACGACGAACTACAGAACGAACGGTAGGTGACTATCGAAACTCCAAATCACATGTTCCACACCTAACGGCTCGCAGTATTTGGCTTCCCTGCTTCACCAGAACTGCCATTAGCAGAACGCAATCTCGGCTTCCTCGACCAACGTTTTGCCCTCGAGTGGGTACAGCAAAACATCCACGCTTTCGGCGGCGATGCGTCCAAAGTCACCATCTTCGGCGAGAGCGCGGGTGCTTTCTCAATCGATGCGCTCTTAACCAGCTTCCCCAAGGACAGTTCCCCACCATTTCGGGCCGCCATCCTACAAAGTGGCCAGTACAGCTATCGTGCAGCTCCTGCAACATCGAGCATTCCCGCTTGGAACAATCTCACAGCAACGCTCGGGTGCCCAGGAACACATGAGAGCAACTTGACTTGCGTAAGAGCGGCAAATGCAACGACTGTGCAGACCATCATCAACCAAAACTCGCTCGTCTTCAACCCAGTTGCTGATAACACCACTTTGGTGTCAAATCCAGCGGCACAACGCCTAAGCGGCGATATCGCGCATATACCAGTACTAGGCGGTACGAACTCCCAAGAAGGCCGCGTCTTCTCCGTCGGCCAAACAAACGTCACTGCCTACCTGCAAGCGACCTTCGGAGCCGCACCAGCACTCATTCCCGCGATCGAAGCTGCATACCCAATCGGTAGCAACGGTCTGACCAACGGCTACGACGTAATTTCACAGATTGTCACTGAGATCACATTCCAGTGTCCACAAGCACTATGGGCCAATGCGACAGCATCCATCGGTATTCCCACCTGGCGTTACTACTTCAACGCTTCTTTCGCCAACACACAAGCTTATCCCCAACTCGGTGCCTATCACGCTTCTGAAATCCCTCTCGTGTTTCGCACATACCCCCTTGCTAATACGACGACGCAAGAGTATGCCTTGGCACAGTTTATGCAAAGTACATGGGCCAAGTTCGCGAAGAACCCTTATGCTGGACCTGGATGGAATGCCGTTGGTACGGGTGCTGAGGGTAATGTCTTGGTTGGTGCCTATGACTTTGTGGCAGGTGGAGTGTATCAGGATCAGAATGCAACCATCGTAGAAGGAGATTGGAACTTGGGTGTTCTCGGCGATGTTGGAGGTGTGAGGGGAAGTGGTGTTACTGTGCTGCCGCAGTCTGATCTTGATTACAGATGTAGTCTCTTTAGGCCTATCTTTGAGGCTAATGTGGGTCCGCAAGGTATACTTCCATCTTGAGGTAGAGGCCTATGCCCCTAGATTAAGGTGATTTCCAGCTTATTCACATGGAAATCTAAGATTATCATGATAAATTCTGATTCCATCCAAGCGTCTCGTGATGCTGTAACTGTACCACCAACTCCTTCAACCTATCGTCCGCCAGTAATCTGTCCAATATCCACTCCGCTCCGATCCGACTCACCACCCTCATGCATGCTCCTCTCCACACTGTCAATCAAACTCTCGCTTCCGGTCTTGGTACCGACACTGCTGCTTCCCTCGTACTCTTGCTTGGTGTTTTGTGTTACATCTTCTCCGCGGCGCTGCTCCGAAGTACCCGAGGCGTTCTGTTGGCCGGGTGCAGCCTATGACTGTCAGTGTCTTTTTTGGGGATATAACCTTTCTGGCATGATGCATGGTTGGTATGAGGTGTTGTGTCAGGCGAGAACTTACCTTATCCACGGACGCGCTCAAACCAGCAGGGTCAGTCGACTGACCAGTCTTGAACGGAACGCTCGGGTCGCCCTTGAATGTGCCGGCTGTGTCTTCGCTGGGGTTGACGGGGTTCTTGGGTTGGGTGTTTGAAGATTCTTGGCCTGTTAGGGAAGACATGGCGTGTATGCTTCGGTGGGGATTTGTGTAAGAGGCCTCGTTATTTAGCTTTTCGTGTGGTGAGCAATCTGTCTCTGATGAATGCTTTGACACACGGCCGTGAAGTAGTTTTGTAGGATGGCGTAAGCTGGAGTCGATGGTGTAGGTTCGACGTCATAGTGACTCAAAATGGAGACGTGGGTATCTGCAGTGGCGAAGTGGTTATTGGCTTAAACGCGAGAGATGCGCGTTTACTTATGCCTTTGACGAAGCAACACTGCCGATTGAGAAACGTTCCCATTTCTTCATGATCTCACTATCAATTGAACATTCCTCGATCTCATGATATCAAAGTTCTATTCCATGCAGAACGCGCCCTGCGCCGACCGAGTAATGCTACGCAGATTATCCATGTCTATAGCTTGCTCTTGCCAATACCCCAAACCTCAGCCTGAGGGTTATTCGACTTCTTGTTTATGGACGCGCCTTCAGCGACAGGCTTCTCGCCCTCCTCGACGAACAACGATTGCGACTGCTTCATGGTCTCGACGGCTTCGCGCTCGATACGGTCAAGGAGCTCTTGATTGGTGGGGATGTCGTGGATAAGGCCAATTACTTGGCCAGCAGTCCATACCTAGGTTTGTCAGTCAATCGCACTCGAAAAAGGGCATTGTAAACTTACACCGAAGTCTGGGTCTCCGTTCAAGAAGACTTGCCGACCTCGCTTTCCGCTGACGAACTCAGCGACTTCCTCGAACTTGCCAGTTGGGCTTGTCTTCTCGACCTCAACAGCCTGCAGCGCAACCTTGTTGGCGAAGAGTCGCGATGTGTTCTTCCACCGGCGGAGTACGAGTGCGGTGTCTGTCTCTTGCGCGTCGACGATGGCTTGCTTGATGTTGTGGTGGATGGGCGCTTCGATGGTGCACATGAAGCGGGTTCCCATGTTGATACCACAGGCTCCGAGAGAAAGCGCGGCAGCCAGACCTTGGCCGTCGGCGAAACCTCCAGAGGCGATGAAAGGCACACCACCTAATGATTGCCTAGCCCTGCTGAGCAAGATGAAGTTGGTAATGTCCGTCTCGCCAACGTGTCCGGCGCACTCGAAGCCATCGATGGACAGGAAGTCAACGCCAAGCTTCACCGCAGACTGTGCGTGCCTGATAGTGGTACACTTGTGCAAGATGATGGTGCCGACCTCCTTCAGCTGCTTGATCACCGGCCCCGGGCTGTTTCCCGCTGTCTCGACAATGTTGACCTTCTCCTCGATGATGACGCGGGCGTATGCGGCATAGTCCGGGGGGACCATGGCGGGGAGGAGCGTCAAGTTGACGCCGAAAGGCTTGTTGGTCATCGTTCGGCATCGGCGGATTTCTTTGCGAAGGTCTTCGGGTGTGGGTTGGGTCAGGGCGGTCAACTATGCGGTCGTGAGAACATGTTTGATGCCTGATGGCCGCCAGACGTACTATTCCCAGACCTCCTGCGTTGCTAACAGCGGAAGCGAGTTCAGCGTATCCAACCCATTGCATGCCACCTTGAACGACGGGCACTACATCTGTCAGCTACCGTCTCGTTTGCTGTGCTGGTGAAGTTACCTCTAATGCCGAGCGCCCTCGTCAGCTCCGTGTTGAAAGGCATCCTGATCGTAAATGGCCCGAAAAAGAGATCTAGAGTTTGTTGTATGGAGGGAACTGCACAGGAGCCTTGAGCCGAGCAGATATCTGACACTCGGACGCGCGACGTTACGGCCGTCGCGCCGGCTGAAGCGCATGTCATTCGTGTGGGGAAGCCATGTGCCTCGGTAACTCCACAGCCGCGACACCAAACGCAGGTGCACGACCGTCGGGTGATTAGTCTGCGCTGACTCTATCGCCGAATGATTCGCTGTCACCGAGTCGCTCGTGATGTCTTTGCTGGAATGGCAGCTGTGCCCGAGTGGTGTTCCGGACGCGTCGCAAAAGGGGAAAGCTGAGCCGCAGGGCTGATGCCGTCATCTCCCTGGCATGTTCACATGTGTCTTGGCAATGAACCATCACTCCAACACCACCCCTACGCATCTGAGCGATCAATTTTTAATCATCTCCTAGGACTCATAAAGGCTGGTATCATTCGCATCGCGAAAGCAAATCTCGCAGTTTGTCGGTAGCTATCCTTAGTCCAGGTGGACTCCGCGTTGGAGCAAAGAAGCTAGGAAACAATACTCTGGATTTCAGCTGCCTGGCTGTACTCATAGCACTTTATCAAGGGCCCTTCTCATGGTCTCTGACTTTCCTATCGCGTTGTCTATGTCTGCCCAAACCTGGACTTCTGCATGAAGCCACCTTGTTTGACTTGCGAAATGGGCAAACACAACAATGTTGCGCTGGGTTCTGGACCTCCGCAAAACCCGACTAGAGTGGAAAGACAATCTCTACTCTATGGCATGAACTATTGTGGAATATCTCATGCGTTTTGGGCCAGCATCAACACGCATCAACGATCAATCATCGAGATTGCACGCTCGTAAGACTGGTTCAGAATAACGGCAGCCCGACGATCCGTTTGTTCCTTACCGACCGTTGTAAAGCCAGCGGGATTACCAAGAGCTTAGTATGCTTCCAGGCCACGTGAGTTTTGGTCCAGACTATGGAGCGTCCTTCGATATCGCGTCCGTTCGATCTACTGGGACTTTGAACTGCACTCCCTTCCCTGCATGACCTTACTATTTACTCTGGCTGGTGTCGTAAGCTTCTTGAGATCGAGCAACCTTTCACGCTCGACATGGCTGGCAATCCCGAGAAACAGAAATTTTCGGTGCGGAAGAAGCGTGCTGGATCACGCACCAACGGACTTCACATCCCTGATTCTACAATCATCGTTGTCGAGCCTTTGAGCGAATTTTGTCTCGAATATGCGGAGTGAAGTAAGAGATCGACATCTAGGCCGACTGTCCAAGACGATACTTAGAAAGCTCATATCGTAGGATCCATAGGTACCATGGAATGTCGCATTGTAGTCGCATTGGAAGAGCGCTATTTAATCGATGTATGGTTGAAACAGCGTCACGTATCCATGCGCGTTGACGGGAAGCTCCAACAGGTTGTAGTATATACCTAATTCATCGTGATCGTTGTCAAAACCACGCTTGAAATCGAAGTTCTATGACGGGAAGGTACATGCTTAGGCACGCAGGTCCATGCTTGGCAGTGACGTAACGAGCCAATGACATAATTCAACCCCAGCAAACGACAGTCGTTGCGGGGATTTTGGGAGGCCTACTTTGTTGGGGTCTCCACACACACGTCCGGTATATAGACCGAGATGCCAGGCTCGGCGCGTCCAAGAGGAATCCCGCACCCTGATCCCCATGACCCATCATGTCGTGGTCTCTTCTTCTCACCGTCCTGACCCAGGTCGTCCGTGTTACATGCGCACCAGAGACATATGACTATGTTATAGTTGGAGGAGGCCCCGCAGGTCTTCTAGTCGCGAACCGACTGTCTGCCGATCCCGAAGTCACTGTTGCCATCATCGAAGCCGGAGATTCTGGCTACGATAACCCCAATGTCTCATATGTACCGAAGTCTATCTTGGAGTACGGCCTCTTCATCGGCACATCGATTGACTGGAAGTACATGACGGCACCTCAGAAGTATGCTGGGAACCGGAGCGTGAACTACTGGGCAGGCAAGGCTTTGGGAGGCAGTACTACGGTCAATGGAATGACGTACATCCGCGCGGAGAAAGAGCAAATTGATGGGTGGGAAGGGCTTGGCAACGAGGGTTGGAACTGGGAGAGTCTACTCGAATACTACCTAAAGCAAGAAGGCTTTAAAGAGCCGAGCGAGGAGCTTTCGAAGGAGGGCGCGACCTTCAGGGACGGGGTACATGGAACAGAGGGAGAGCTTGCTGTTGGCTTCACCCCATACTTGATCCGTCAAGGCTTCGCCAAATTGTTCGCGGAGACCTCCCAGGCGATGGGTATTCCTTACAATAAGGAACCGAACAACGGTAGTATGCGCGGTTTCGACGTGTGGCCTATGACACAGAATGTGAGTGGGCCTACGAGGGCAGATGGAGCCAGGTCCTTCTACTTCCCTGTTGCGTCACGCCCGAATCTCCAGGTCTTCTTCAATACCACTGCTGCACGCATCATCTGGAACGATGAATCATCCGAGGCGTCAGAAGTGGTGGCCTCGGGAGTTGAGGTGATCGATGCAGGAAATGTAACGAAAACTATCGGTGCCTACAAGGAGGTCATTGTCGCAGCCGGCGCCATTCGATCACCAGCATTCCTTGAGCACTCAGGTGTAGGTAATCCCGCCATACTTGAACCTCTCGGTATTAAGACTGTGAACCCACTCCACTCGGTCGGCTCCAACCTGCCAGATCAACCGCAGCATGGGATGGTCTTCAACTCGTCTACGAATTGGACGGGCTATCCTACCTTCGTTACATTTTTGACAGCTTCTGATCTCTTTGGTGAAGAACTTCCCGCTCTTGTGGAAGAGCTCCAAGCCAATGTGAGCGCTTATGCTGCAGCGATTGTCGCAGACTACGCGCCCGATACCATCTCCGTCGAGACGCAAGAACGGCTTCTGCAACACCAAGTAGACCTAGTCTTCACTGCCAAGAGCGATGTTCCTTTAATAGAGATTCTCTGGGCCCCAACAGGAAATCAGATTATTGCGCAGCTTTGGGACCTAATACCGCTTTCTCGAGGCTCAATACACATCGAATCAGCCGATGCATCCATACCACCTCGTATCGACCCAAACTTCTTCCAGATGCCCATCGACATGTATGTGCAAGCAGCTGCTGCAATCCGTATCCGCGAGTATTTCGCCACTTCGCCGCTAGCGGAGGACGCTACAGGCGAGGTCTCTCCCGGTTACGAAGCGGTACCGCAAGGTGCTCATTGGAGGGATCAAGTCTGGGACGACTGGATCACAGGCGCCATGAATGGCAACTCGCATCCTGTGAGTACTTGCGCAATGATGAGTAAGGAGCTGGGTGGTGTGGTAGATACGGAGGGCAAGGTTTACGGGACGCAAAACGTCCGGGTTGTGGATGCGAGTGTGTTCCCGACTCAGATCTCGGGCCATCTTAGCGCCAGTGTATATGCCATTGCTGGAAAGATTGCGGACGCGATGAAGCAGAAGGAGTCGGATGAGAAGAAGTTTTGACAAGACTTTTCCTTCGTAGCGCTTCTGATGTTGGCGGCGTATTGCTATCACACTGTAAAAGTCCCGGATTGGGCGGGTCTTCGCCTCCTCCGGGTCAATAGAGAGCTGCGTCGGTGAGACTGGTGCATGGTTAGCGCAAAGCAAGAACAGAGTTCAATTTGATTGAGAAGCGTGTACTGTTCTTTGTTGAAGGTGATGCTCCCTCCTGACAGGCGATCGGAAAAGGGATGCCCAGGTGGTGATGCACTGCCCCACTTTTCATTCCAGGGCAGCCGCCCCGCGTCATCGACCTTTAGGCAAGAGCCGTGCGCTTGGGTATGACGAGCCCACCACAAACTCTCAACCTTCGCTATCCAATATCCAGCTGTGGTCCTCAAAGCCGACGCGAAAGCATAATGCCATCGTTCATGGGCCTTCCGCGTGAACTACGTGATCAGATATGCGAATACGTCATACTTTCGCCAGCCCGGCAGCCACGAGTGCTTAATCAGACAACCGAAGAGATTCTTGAAGGATACACGACTTATGAGTTTCCGACGCCGTTCGTACGACCGGGTCCATCGTATCAGCCCCAGGCAATCGTCTCGAATTCGACGAGATTACTGCTAGTCAATCAACAGCTGAGAACGGAGACAACGGAGATGCTACAACGAATGCGAAGCATTGTGTACGACCTCGATCTTGTAATGACCGACAATGGGATATTGGCAGCGACGTGGATCAATGTTCCAGTTTTGTCGACCAGAATTGAGCAGCTGAATGTCACACTTCGCCTCTGTGTGACAAACGATAGCGAACGACTGAAGTCTGAAATTGAAGACATGTTAGGGGCGCCGGCAAATCCAGGACCTGAAGATTTCTTTGGGCTACTACCTAAGCAGTGTAAGGAAAGCCTTTCCTCTATTAGTATTAGTACTACATACTAACCACTCACCTCACTGTTCTAGTGGTATGGGGCTTCTATGGCATATTCAACCGATTCACCCATGTTGGGCCTCAGGGCGAAAGGAAGAGCGACAGTGAACACCGGCAAATATCCATCAGAACGATCAGCATCAACGTCGAGACACCATCTCCCGATCTTGCGCAGCTCGGTCTGATTCATATGTCCGCTCAGGCCGACGCTGCAATGTCGGTTACTTCCCGGTACTTCTTGGTGTGTCTGAATTGGACTATACAACAACAACTGGAAGGGAATTGGGAGTATATCCGGGGCATCACTCTGCTTGAGTACGTAGATCGTGTTCTAATCTATCACGACGGCAATGAGATACATCGCTGGGATGTAGCTGCGTGCCTTGGAGAGTATCCTGAAGATGAGATGATCAGGTGGAGGCCACAGGGCAAGAAAGAGGCGTGGTGCAGAAGGAAGCAAAGAGGACTGAAGGTGCCCGAGGATTTTACCGATCCAGCCCGATGGTAACACCAGGCCGCAAACACGGGGAAGCTATTGAGGTACGGAATGGTCTTACGAGGTTCTCCAGGAACGGCACAAGACCCACAGGCAAAGGAGAACCGCTTTCACGCAACCGCTTCACGTGACGGGTCGTGGCTTAGCAAGGCTAACGTGCAGACCGCTGTCGATCATTCTAATACACGATCAACAGTCACTTACCAAACGTCCGGTTTCTCTTGCGATAAAACTAAATTCACTATTCGTACTTCAGCTCACTCTTTCTACTGCTGATCGACCAATCTCGACAAATGAGCCCGAAGCGGTAATCCGAAAAAATGACGCTTGTTGCGCTAGACAACATGCGGTTAGTGACCTCGAGGAATCAACTATATTGGGATAGCGATTTACGAGGCCTGGGGCTTGACTGTGCTTGATGTTGTTTGGCATCTATTTACTGGCAAGGCTGAGTCTCGAGAAATACGCCCGTTTTGGAGATAGCTGGGGGCCTGGAACAATATGCGCGGTTTATCAAAGCAGCTCCGTATTGTGTTGAGCGTAAGGCTCGAGATACTTATATCCAGTGTCAGATCACTCATCACAAAGCAATACAATCTCGATACCATACTATCATGATGCCATTAGAACCTCCTTCATACGAGAGCCACTCTTTCGAGCGGCCGCATCGAGCACTTGGTTCATACAACGCTGCACCGTTACCACCGACTAGCTTGTCTCCACGAGATAGTGAGTTGTTACATCACGCCATAGATTGGACACCTTACATGATAAGTCCAATCCAGCCACGACAATCTCTTCAAGTGAGCCACTCTTCAAACATTGCCAGTAAACCTTGCTGACCTGTCTAGAAACCCGTCGTGATACCAAGACTCGATGCGAACAGTCTACTTGGAACGCCATTCCCATTCATACGAGCTTACAGTCCCGACCTGCGCCGCTTCGACATCCATGAGAGAGACTTCGTAGCATTCATTGATGATCTCAGTGTCGCTCAAGCTCCACCAGTCCCGCTTCAGGCGCTTGATGTAGCGGGCCATGTGGTTGGCATCGTGTGAGTTGACTCCTCTAGTTGATTCTTACCGGTTTCTCATAGAAGCATAGACCACATCATTGGACGATGATCGCCGGCGCCAGCATGAACATGGCCGCCGGAGTTGGAACGGCTGCTACGACCACTATGCGAACGCGGCGCTTCTTGGAAGCTGTGAACCGAGAATATTTCGCGCCTCGTGGTCTGAAAGCTTCGATTTGCAAGAACAAACAGTTGGAGGAGAAGCTTGGCTGCAATGTGCACATGCCATCGTTGGCGTAAGTTTAGCCCCGCCGTACGGGTTCCCGTTTCTGATTTGGCAAAGAACGCTAGGAAGTAGCTCTCAGCCTCAGACAGCTGGATACCGCCGATTGCAAGCACTCACGCCCCACATCGCACCGCTGTCATTCAACGTCCCGCCGCCAATGGAGCAGCGAAATGCTCTCGATAGAATGGCTGCGAAGCAGATCGAACGGCGTATCAGGAAGAAAGAAGAAAAGAGCTACAGCTCAGATTCAAGCTCCAGTTCTTTGTCTAGCACCAGCTCCATCGGAGAGTCTGCCCTGACATCTCATGATGAGGTTAATGGTAAACAAAAGAGAAGATCCGATAAAGCGGAGCGCAAACGAGCAAAGAAAGAAGAAAGGAAAGCGCGAAAGGAAGAGAGGAGATCTAAGAAGCAGGAACGGAAAGGGGAAAAGGCCCATGGGAAGAAGGGTAAGAAGTTGGAGAAAGACCAGAGGATGGTCGAGAAGATGGATTACATCGTCATCGAGCCGCTGGATACGTAGATATATCAATAGAAAGACAGTACTAACTTGGTACTAATGTATATGTCAATTCGAAAAAAACGGTCGTTCTACCTTTTTACTTTACTACAACCTCACTTGCGAACATCTAGGATGCTTTTCGCGGATCTCCAGGGCCCTCGTCTACCAGCCGACATGTCTTGCATGACGGATGTGATCCATGATGCTATTGTCGGCTCCTTCTCGCGGATCCCATCGTATGCCATGCGCAGAGGAAAGAGCAGTTCAAAAGAGCCCTGTTCGCCCCAGTCCTCTAGCTGATGGTACTCGACGCTACGACATATAGTGAGCGCCGCTGTCGATATCTGCTCCTGTCGGGTATGGTAGGCTGAAGATGACATCATCTCAGCATCGATGCTGTCGGCGAACCGGAGGGCCATGATGGTAGCGGCGTTATAGACTGTGATAGCGTTCGCGTGATAGAGTGATCGGTATCTGAAGGCAGTAGACCAGGCTGGATGCAACGCGCCATACTCGTCTTCTATGAGCGGTATCGGTTGACATGCGGGTGTCTCGTAAGAATTGTGAAACGGATCAGACGCAAAAGTCTCCCTCCAGTTTTTCAGTTTGGCGATGACCTCATGACATTGCAAAGAGAGACATTGCATCTCAGCAGTCCTTGTGTCTTCATCCGCAACTGACAAAAGCTCATCACGCAGAATGAAGAGCTGGGGGTAGTCGGCAATAATGTCGAACAAGAGCTTGAGCGAGTCGATGTGCTCAGGGTGTAAGCTCCAGGGGATGTATTTCCATTTATTCTCCGACATTATCGTTGGCTTGTGCAAGACAATAGCTGCAAAGATAAGAGACGGGCGAATCCTATCCAAGATCCCAAGACACTGAGGTGATGCCATAGCTTCAGGTCCGCGCAACTCGAAGAGCCTTTCTAGCCCACGTGCATGGTTTATCCAACCATCGACACGATCCGAGATGAGGAACTAGTAGCGGTTAGAAAATGTGTGCACTGCAGAACGTTTGATGTACCTCGATGAGTCCCATAAGCATGACCGCCTCAATCAGATCAAAGGAAGGCGGAGACACCGAAGCCTCAAGAGCCGAATGCACGGCTCTAAGTGCGTCACTGTACCTCTTGAATCCGTACTGCGTGATAGCTCTATCCTGGTGCTTGATGCCGAAGTAAGAAGTCGCAAGCGCAGAAAGTGACTTGATGGTAATAACCCCAGGATTGAACACCAACAAGCTCTGCACCGGCAATAAATTTGAGAGAGTGAACGCAGTGAAGACATCATCGCGAGACGGCGACAATGCTCGATGAATTTCCTGGTGAAGTCGAATAGCAGTGTCAGGCGTTCTGGTGCCGACTTCCACAGCTAAGCACCCGGCGACATCGCGACCGCTAGGCTGGGCAGACTGGCCGTGGCCATCGAATTGCACGAATGTGATGCCGCGGGTGCCACCACATTGTAGTCGTGCTGTGACGCACCTTCCGCATTGTGGCTTTCGTAGATCTCGTGACGTCAACACACGCGTCGGAATAGCGCAGGGGTAAACAGGGCAAACCTACCACATTTGACGCGTCGACTTTTGCAGTTATCGCACGCTCTGGACCGCCCGCCAACTCCGACCATGTGAAAGATGCATGCTAAGATGGATGAGATGAGGAAGATACAAGACGGCGGGAGATGACGAGTCACCGTCAGCATGGCGCGTGCGCGGCGCTATATTCGGCCCTCATCTCACAAGGATGCGCCTGTGAAGACGCACATAAATTCAACGATCGATCAAGGGGTAGATTTAAACCTTATATCCTCGATGATGTTAACTTCAGTCTTTGTTTGTACTACGTACATCGAGACGTGAGCAGATGCCACTTCCGCACAGGGAAGACCTCAAGCTTTCAGATCTTCAGGTCGTGGTGAACATGATCAACCCTGAGAGCCCTAAAATATACCTTCGCGCCGCAGCAAACCTTCCTGAACTTCTTGTTTCCACTGCAACCCCTTAATTGTTTCCAAGCCTTCTACAAAGTCATATCCAATTGTCCATAAGTCGCCGTTACGCCTGTCATCAAGTTTTTGTATCCAAATCGCTTTGAGAGCCCTCTGGTCATGGATTGCGAATGCAATGTCCCAAGTACACCATTCAAGTTTTTCAGTGGCACCTCGAAAATTGAGGGTGAGGCGATCACATCGTTGAATCCAGGTGAGTTCCGCCGGGTCATAATTGTCCCTAAAGAAAAGCTCCAGGCACATTACGCGGGTACTTTGAAGGTGGTCCAGCGGACAATCCACATGGGTAGAGAGGTTGATTGTCGACCATGGTAGGTGCAATACCGGTTGGAGAGCTGCTACGCATCGTTTCAATGAAGCCCGGTTAAGGCTACCCTGGAGCCATGATCCTGAAATCGGCATGCTTATGTTGCCATAGCCAGCTCCTCCTGCTAAGATCGAAGCTGGTGATGAATCAATCTTCAAACAACGGCCATATGGATGCTCATCTTGCCACTTTCGAGTGGCAAGGAGTAGGGGTTTGACCTTAGCTATATCATCCTCCATTTCGTTGTATGCAGTACGGCAACTGAAGAAAAGGCCGGAGATATCCTGTGGACGTCCAGAAGTGATGCTTTCGACGATGAGGTGTCTACAGACCTCGATTCGAAGCTCTGTTGGAAGGGTGAGAAACATGTTTTGTATAATGCGTGAGTTGTTTCAATACCAAGGTGACGGAAAGTGATCGTCACAGTTAATGTCTCCTAATCTTGTACATCAATATATGTAATGGAAGAAACGAACTCGGCTTAAGAGCAAAGAGAAGATCGCTTGTTGAATCAATAACGATGTGACGGGTGTGTTCACTATGTAGGAAGTGAGCACAAACAGTTTGGATGGTGATTTGCGCGAAGTTACATGGACAAGAGCTGAAATTGATGATTGCGAAAATTGTACAGGGTTAGACGCCTAAACTTCGCTACCTGTATTTGCATCAATACGCCACCATGATAATGCAATAACATATCCTTGACAATATAGCGACATACACACCGAAAGGTCGGTACGCAATCCTCATTTAACCCCATAAACTCAGTCGACACAAACCCTTCAAACAGCCCTACTCCCTATAAAACCAATTCAGATCCACAAACCGATACCCCGGCAGCTTCAATCCGCCCCTAAAATCTACTCCCCACATCCTCCTCGTCGATCCCTCGACAAGAAAGCACCACGGACCATAAAAAGTGCCGGAGTTAGGAAGATACACGCCCTCACATTGCCTCCCGTGTATGACGTTCACAATGTATCTGTCCTCAACGCTGTAATCCTTACGGAACGTCAGCCTATCAATATATCTCTTCTGCCTTGCCTTCTCCAAAAACTCTTGTCCCCATATCTGGTAGAAAGTACGGAAGAAGAGATGACTAGATGACAGAACTTGTTTGTTCGTATATCGACGTTCCACTCCGAAACCGAAAGGGCAGAGTAGGAGACGAAGGCCGAAAACCGCGAAGTCTTCCGTGCGACGCAGCATGTCGTGCTTAGCCTGTCTAACAAGATTCCTGCGTTTGCGATCGCGCGGTGCGGTGATGGCGAACTCAGTGAGCGGGTTGATGTACGTGTGTGTATGTGGTATTTGGAAGCACAGTCGTCCTCTGACTTCGCCTCTGAGCCGTCTAGAATGATCCCAGGCGCGCTTCAGGTCGAGGGCTACTTGTACTGTTGAGATGAGTGGCTTCATTTCCGAATAGGTTGTGCGGGAAGCTAGGTATAGAGCACCGACATCGGAGGTGCGTCCATTTTCCAGGATTTCGGTGAGAAGATTGCTGTAGATCTGAAGTCGTAGTTCTGCTGGTAGCGCGAGTAACGCGGAAAGCTTGTCTTTGGCCATGGCGCTGACTGTTGGTCTGTGATGAGTTGAATGGTTGCTATCGGAGGATTTGGCGACTTGCTGAAGATGAAAGCAGAAAAGAGTTTGCGTCGTTTTGATATTCAGCGAGCAAACACCCTGTGGAGCTAGTGAAAAGCAAGCTCAGCACGCAACGGTGAAATGGTAACTTGCGGAATTGATGGAAGAGTGGTAACAATGCTGCATCATCAAGCATCAGGGTTGTCCTTGTCCCACTCATCTAAAGCGTGTGGGCCCAACGTCCAGCGTCGCCCAAGTGCATTCACTGGCGGCTTCAACCCTTGTTTGAGATCTAAGCAAAGCGTCCACCTAGGGTTTGGGGCAATTCCACCAATGCCAAGCCACCATGTCACCCTTTTGGAGAAGCAATAGCAGAGTTTGAAAATCTGGTACATGTCGTCTTTCCCGAAATCGCCTATCGAAAGGGGAGGCTCTCCAAGAGTGCCCAAGTCTATCATCAGACGATCAACACCTCGCAGGTAGGAGTGTTCTGTTTTAAGAATTATGGGTATCCGATATAATATGTGGCTGGCTATAACGATACTGGCGTGCCACGGTACATCTTGATCTGCACCGGATTGGTAGAACTTCAGAGTAAACGTCGACAACTGGAGGCGAGATAGGTAGGAAAGTATACTTTCTAGATTATCGAGATGTTCCTAATAGATGAATAGAGTTGATGCCAGAGCAGATCCCACAACGTAGTAGTAGTAACGTAGTATAATATATAATAAAGAGCTATACTTTACTCTTTTTACTTAGAAATTTAGTAGTGTAGTATATAGTAGCTTATAAACTTTATTAAAATATAAGCTTATAGTTAGTGCCTTATGTCTAATTTTGTAGACTCTGTTTAGTAAAAAAACGTTAAAAGACGCCTAGCTTTTGTTCTAGAACTACTAGAAGATTTTAAGATTTTAATATATTTAGTGTATATTACTATTAGCACTAAGGCTTTTATATAGACTAATAATATATTACTTTTAAAACCTTGCTAAAAGAGTAAACTTTATATTAAGCAACGCCTATATTAGTATATTAACGTTTTGCTACATTTAATCTTTAGCTATTAATATAATATAACTTAAGTAGCTAATAAAGATAACTACTCTCTTAGTTCT